TTTGTTGCCTTATTTCTCTACTAAACGCCCCGGGCGTTTATTTCAAACTAGGGTTGGTAGAACCGGCGCTTATTTGCTTCTTGTTCATCAATTGTGACACCCACGTATCTCGCCATTATACCTAAAGCTTCGATTAAATACACCTGAGGGACTTATTTACAACTTTAACCTTGACACCCAGCTACGGGAGGCCATTACTTAATGAACCCATCCGGGAACCGACGTTTACTAATTACCCTTCCACGAATTCATGTAGATTAGGACATAATCTTGTCGTTACAAGTAAAGATATAAAATATCATTTACTCACTTGTATCTTTACCATCTGTGGGTATATAACGAACTCACAACGTGACCAGCTCCCAGTTGGCTTGATAGCTCATTTGGTAGAGCACTGCACCATTATCGCAGAGGTCATGGGTTCGAATCCCGTTCAAGCCTGAATTTTAATATTTGTTAGGCTTTAATTTCACAGCTGTCTTCATAATCTTGTAATCATCGGTCGTCTAGTTAGGTGTAACTAAAAGGCGGCTTTATTTGGGGAAGGAAGCCAGGGAGGGATGGGTGGGAATAATGTGAGGCACGTTTACTTAACGTTTTCCCGCCTTTTTGAAAGCCATACAAATGTAGTGCGAAATACTAGGTAACTTCTGCCATGTCAAATACCGCGACAAAACAGTAATCGCTCCTCCCACCTACCCCACCCACACAATTCTCAGATGCCAAAGTCCCGCGTGGGCCAACTAGTTTTTCACCCTCCCCACCCTAACGCTCTTTCTTGTCGTTTGCAGTTTATAATCGACACAATGACTCTGAGTGTTGACGGCTTTCTCGCCAAGATTGGCAGCATGGGCCGGTTCCAATGGATTCTGGTCTGTGTGGTGGGTGTCATGTTGGTCCCCGTCACGTTTCAGACCCTGATCATGACGTTCCTCGGTTTAGAGCCCCCCTGGAGGTGCGTCCGTAACAGCTCCGTTTGTAACTTCACTCGTAAGTGTGTCCAGCTGTTTCCTTTCGCTGTTTTAAAGGTTTTGTTGGTATTTGTTTGGTAATTCCATCTTGCTCATTAAGATGCTTTGGCGATAAAGTTAATTGTCATAGATATCTTCTTCACCCNCTCAATAATTGCGAAGAGCAAGTCTACTTACACAATGATTTATCGTTGTTTTGTAGAGGAATTCAGTCCAACGGGTGATGATCCAAACAAGAATTTTAGATGCCGCATTAATGAGAGTGAATGGGAGTTTACCAAACCTTACACGTCCATCGTCACCGAGGTACACCAGATCTAACTTGAAGTAATATCTTCTATTTATCGATTTTTGTATCATCAGTCTAGTCTTGTTCCCAAAACCAAGGGGATAAGTACAGGGGAATAGTGTACAACATGTTTTGAGCAAGGTATTCAAGGTACAGTGGAACCCCGCCTTGCAGGAACCCCGTCAATACGCCACCTCGTTATTACGACCACTTTATTCTGGCCCAAAAAAAAGCTCAGTCAGTCATTTTCTTATTTAAAGAACCCCTTTAATACGGCCACCCTGTTAATATGCAGTACGGCCAGATTTTTGTGGCCTGTTGGTGACTGCATTAACGGGGATCCACTGTGATTGCAACAAGAAGTTGCACTGAGTTTTTCATTTTGATCGACTGATGTGTTGAGCGCCATCCTCTGCCGCTTTCCAGCAGCTGTTTATACGAAGATCGTTATTTATTTTATTTGTTTTTGCCTTTGTTTCAACAGTGGCGTCTGGTTTGTGGCAAATCTATACTGGGTGTTCTGACCAACTCTATCATGTTCTTCGGCTGGTTTGTTGGAAATGTGGTGTTTGGAATCTTGTCAGACAAATATGGTCGTCGTAAGATTCTCTTTCTGTCTTCCAGTCTCGTGTGCTGGGTGGCCTTTGCAAGTTCTTTTGTCCCGTGGTACTGGCTTTATGCCATCCTCAGATTCATCATCGGCTTTGGTCTAGGCTAGTATCACTTAGGCTCAGGTCAAACGTCGAACTTCACATGAGACGAACTAAATTGCAATTTGATTCGATTCAAACGGGTAAAGCTCAACCGCTGGGTCAAACTTCAAACTTGATTCGAATTTAGATCGACAAGTACGTTTTATCTGTTTACTTTAGAGAGATAGGAAGCGTTGGTCAATCTAAATTCAGTTGGATGAACTCACTTGAGTCAAACGTCGAAGTTTTCGTGAGCTTAATTCGCTCAGTTTAGTTCGTGTCATGTGTAGTTCCACGTTTGACCTGGGCCTTACTTACTTACCAGTCAGTTTTTTTTAAACTTTTTATATCATTTGACAACATTTTTGTTGAATAAGCTGTTTACCCTGAGTCCATTTCCTAGCCTGAAATTTAGCCCTTGAGTCAAAAGTGCTTTTGATGCGCGCGGTCAGGGGACTAATACCCAATTATTCCTCTCTGTCCCTAGGAGGAGCCATTGTGTGCCTTTTCATTATGGCCACTGAGTACGTAGGTCCCAAGCACCGCGCCATGGCAGGCACCTTTACGTGGTACTTTTGGACCGGGGCTCTGATGATGATAGCTTTGTTGGCTTACCTGATAAGGGACTGGAGGAAACTTTCTATGATCACCTCTGCTCCAGGCCTCTTGCTGTTCATCTTTTGGATGTAAGATGGAGATGCCAACTGATCAATTGATGCTTAGTTTTTTAACTCAAGGGAGGCGTGGTGGCCTCGTGATTAGTGCGCTCGACTCCGGATCGAGCGGTCCGGGTTCGAGCCTTGGCCGGGGACATCGTGTCGTGTTCTTGGGAAAGACACTTTACCCCACAGTGCCTCTCTTCACCCAGGTGTATAAATGGGTACCGGTGAATTAAATGCTGGGGGAAACCCTGCGATGGACTAATATCCCATATGGGAGTAGAAGTACTCCTAGTCGCTTCATGCTACAGAAACCGGGATAAGCTCCAGTCTGATGGGCCACTTGGCTCGTATGCAGACTTCTTACATTTTAAACTCAAATATCATACAATTTACCCGGTGTTAAACAATGGTTCTATTTATGTTTCAAAAGTGTTTTGAATGCCGAAAGGTTTTGACTTAGCTGGGTGTTTTTAACAACCAAGGGTGAAGGAGGCGGGATGGCAATATTTCGTCATTTCATAACAAACCTTGCGCTCTTTTATTTTTCTTGTCCAGACTTGTTCCTGAGTCAGTTCGCTGGCTGACGACGCACAAAAGAACCGGAGAGGCGGAGAAACTTTTGAAGCGAGTGGCAAAAACTAACAAGAAAACAATGCCCGAGGAGAGCCTGGGTCTACCGGAAGATCAAAAAGTCACAGAACGGGAAGCGGGTTTTATGGATTTGTTTGGATCCCGTTCGATGACAAAGAAAACTGTTATCTCTTGGATTTCTTGGTGAGAGGTAGCTTAATTAGTAAATTTATATTGCCCGGCGTACTAGATAACGCCCAAGGCTGATGGTCTACTGAAACAGTTGACCGAGAAGTACCAAACCTCGCGATTATCTGAGAAATTTGATAAAAGATTCAGGTCCCATCCACACTACACCGGAGGAATTTGAAAACGCAGCTTTATTTCTACAGCTCACGAAAACGGAGACGGAAGCTTTTCAAAAACGCTCTTTAAACCGGAGGAATTTAAAAATGCCAGCTTTCCGTTTTCGTGTGGACGAAGAACATTTTGAAAACGGAGCTTTTCGAAAACGATGACGTCACGATAATAATATGATTTCCCTGACCGAGTTTACCTTAACTACAAATCCAAAATGACCGGTGATTGGTGCGTTTTCAAATTCCTCCGGCGTAGTGTGTACGGAAAACATTTGATGTGTTTTCAGAGTGAAACTTCCGTTTTCAAATTTCTCCGGCGTAGTGTGGACGCGGCCTTAGAAATAGACTTGAGAATAAAACGATTTAGAATTTCAGGCAATGATCGTGTTTAGAATAACTCCGCGTTATCTTCTTGTGTCCTAACAGGTTTGTTAATGCTCAAGTGTACTTTGGTGTATCGTTAGGTTCTGTTCTGTTAGGTGGCAACATGTATCTTAATTTCTTCCTCACTTCGCTGGTCGAAATTCCTGGCAACGCCTTTGCAATATACGCCATGAACAGGTTGGTCTGCTGTCAACTTACAGGAAATTTATTTAAAGAAGTTAAGACGTTTTTATGGAGGGGCTGTGTTCCAGATTTAGTTTCGTGATAGCTTTGACAGTAATAAACAAACTAAATGACTTTAGAACATAGCGAGATTCGT